GATCCATAACGGTTTCACTACTATTTGCTAACATACTTACAATGGGCTTACTTAACTTTCCAACCTTAAGCCCAAGACGTAGTTTTTGTAACCCTCTTTTACTAATATAACTGCGTATAGACCCGCTGTCTATCATACCTCCTACTCTTGTTCGGTTTATTTCAAAATCTGCAATTATTAGCTGTCCTTTTTTTTTTCGCATTTCAGTCCAGGCTTGGCGACGAGCGGCCAACTCATCACCCATGCCAGTGAGGGATCCATCTAGAGAGATGCATACGTTTGCAACCTCTGGACAGTGTACTAGATGGGGACTTCCTTCCTCTTCAGTTTCTGCCAGTGGAGCCTTCGACTGGGAGGATTCTGATTTTTCAACAGTCGAAGCTCCGGTAGAGGCAACTGACACCTCTACTGGCTGTTCCCTTTTGCCCCCCTATAATCAGGGCAATAGGGGACAATGTGGTCGGGGTCCCCACATTTGAGGCATTGATCTGCCTTCTTTCTTTCGGCCCAAACTTTCTCTGTGATTCCCAATTCTTTCCAAGGTTCTCCTTTCGGCAAGCCTGGATGAGGTGGGTATGGCTTATCCCACTTGTTGTACCATGAGCCTCTTCCTCTACCCCAGGTGGAGTAAGAACCACGGCCACCGTATGAGGGGCCATTTCCCCTTCCTCCCACGTAGTGGCTTCCTTCACCACCACCCCTCTGGGTGCCGAATCCTCGTCCACCACGGCCGCGACCTCTTCCTCGGCCACGCCCTCTTCCTTAACGCCCTCCCCCGCGGGCTGCAACAGCCGCGTAACTCCCCTCCTGAGCTACCGGTCTGTTGGGTTCATCGAGACCGTAATCTATTTTTGGTCCCAAGAAAGTGATTCGACACCTCCTTCTTCAAAGGTCAGAAGRAGGTTGTCTTTCCCAGGTATTGATCCTGAGATGGTGCGGTTTTGCCATCTTTTGCCCGCTTGCAGATCTTTCCAATAGTGGCAATAGTTGGCTTCAGCCAGAAATCMTGCATGATCTAATGCAATCTTACTAAATTTTTCATAGGTCATCCCCTCCTCTTTAGTGCGGGGATATAACTGAGTTCGGACGGGATCAGGTAAGGCGCGAGCAAAACTGTTCAAAATCTGAGCCGGGGTTAACCCATGCTCGGTGCACTGTAACAACTCATCCATGGTAGCTTTTAGTGCCGACGTGCTTTTCCACTTCCTGTCAGGAAGGTTCAAGATTAACATTTCTGTTCTTCGGGCGAGATTCTTATCTTCGAACCTCTCCCTGACGGCTTTGAGAAAGTCTTCAATGCGGGTTTGTTGGAAAAACTCTACCATCGAACTACATCCTGCTTCCTTTTGTAACGAGATGGCAAAATTCATCGCGTCACCGGCCATGCACGAAGTGGCCATCAAGACCCTATCCCAATAGGGAATCCGTTGTCCGTAGACATAAGACTCTACAACCGTCATCCAATGCAACACGCTTTCTTCCCTTTTGCCGGTGTACATCCATGAAATTTTAACTTTAATTTTGTTGCTGGTCCCAACTCCTTCTTCTCGCTGTCTTCCCCTTCCTTTCTTATCTCCATCTCCGTCACCACCTCCTCCTTTGCCGCTGCCCTGCACTATTCTCTCAATCACGGCTGGAGTGAAGGTTTGAGTGAGATTATCATCCAGTTTGTTGATATAGGACTGAATGTGTAGATCTACGTCCTTTGCGGACTTCTGCAAAAAAGTGTTCCATACATTTTCAAATTCCAGTTGATTTGTTTCAACTTTCTGCAAGGTCCTATTGATTGCAGCAACTTCCTGTTTCGTATGGAGAACTGTTTCAGTTAGGAGGGCAAGTTTTTCTTCAGTAGCCGCTTGTTTTTCCTTTTGTGCCTGCAGCTCGCTGTGTAACCTCGCCCCCTTTGCTTGCAACTTCTTTCTATCATCACGCTCTTTGCGCTTTCTCGCTAGCATCTTGCTATGTAGTTCAGTGCGTTTTTCTTCCAGCATCAGTTCTCTCTCCCTTTGATCTGTTACTAGTGCTAGCCTTGCTATGAATGTGTCTCGTTCTTCTTCTGTCTCTTCTAACTTGTCACTGGAATAAGAATACTGGTCATACCAGTCCAATGGCTTGACAAATACTTCTCCCCGGACCTCACTTGTCTCGCCACTTTCTGCACGCCGCCTGATAAGTCTCTCTCCCCCTTCTT